GGAAGCCCGTGGCGCTCTTGGCTCCGCCGCGCGCTCTTTATAGCCCGGCGGCCCGCGGCCTTGGCCCCGGAGCCCGGGGCTGAAGAGCCCGCCCGAGGGCCTGCGCGTCACGGGGCGCCGCCCCCTTTGTTCTCGCTTGAGGCCAGGCCCCCAAGTCTGTGGATGTGGAGAGCGCAGCCGTGACGGGAACTGACTCCTAGAGTTTCTTGTCTGCGGGAGAGCAGGCCTGGTGGCGCACGCCTCTAGTCCCGGGACTGGAATGTAGAGGCAGGGTGAAGTTCGAGGCCAGCCTGTCCTAGGAAGTTCGAGGCCAGCCAGGGCGACGTGGTGTAGAACAAAGCCCTCTTCCAAGCTAAAGCCCAAATCAGATTTAACTCGATTGCAATGGCCCCATCCGGAAAATTTGCTTAAGGACATTCCCGACTTTCCCTCCGAGATTTTTTTCTTTTGCCTTTTAAAGCAGCATTGCAAAAGTAATGTGTGAGTGCCCAGCCACTGAGGACTGGTCAGCAGCTCCCACGGTGCAGGCCACTGAGTGAGTTGGAGTCACCATTGAGTGGTCCTGAGCTCCTCTGCAGACAACTAAGCAAAACGAAAAAAGGTGGAAGGAAAATAAAGTTCCTACAAGCTGTCAAAAAAAAAAAAAAAAAAAAGGAATGTGTGTCGAATGAGAACTTTGCCCACTTCAGCTACAGATCACTCGTGTGGGCTTTGATCTGCCCTTATGGATGGGAATGAATTTGGGAGCTGGATTGAGGAGGTCCCTTGGTTTGAGCTAGTTTCCACTGAGCTCAGTTTGAGAAAGCACTCAGACCACTGCAAGTGACAACCAGAGTTTAATTGGGAAACTCTTGACTCAGGTTCTAATTTAGTGATTCCTGTTCGTGTATTTTCATTCTTATCTCAAAGAAAGTAGTTGGGTGTGGTGGTACACACCTTTAATCTCAATGCCTGAGAGGCAGAGACACACAGATCTCTGAGTTCAAGGTGTAGCGCACACCTTTAATCCCAGCACTGGGGAGGCAGAGACAGACGGATCTCTGTGAATTCAAGGACAGCCTGGTCTACAGAGTTATTCCAGGACAAAGATATACAGAGAACCTGTCTCAAAAAGTAAAAGTAAAAATAAAAGAAATAGAGGTTAAAATAAAGTCACATAGAGATGGAAAATACACAGAGAATCTTGATACTGTATGCTATTCTGCTCTCTTTGAATTGTTTGAATGCTGAGGAAGGAGCAACAGCTGCTAAAAGATATTTGTTTATAAATGCTGCTGAACTAATCCAAGATAGATATTTTGAAAATACCTTGACTTCAGAATTTGGATCTAAGGATATGATACTTTGAAAAGGAGGTTCTTCTTTTGTTTTCACAGAGGATGATATGGTATGATAGACCACGCCCTCCTGAAAGGTTGCTGTGAACACCCTCAAAAAATTACTTCATTCAACTGTCAACTGAGATGAAGCTAGCAAACAGGTTTACTGTGAAAGACCTGATTAACAGCGCCCCTCTTCAACAGGAAGAAGTTTGGAGAGAAATAACTACGTCCATATTCCCAGATATTGTTTATAAATGTTCTTTTACATTTAAAGGGGGATATGGTATAGATATGAATAATTTGCTTTGTTATGCATTTTAAGGTCAATTTTGTTATATGTATATATATTTCTGATCTTGATTGATGTATTGTGATTGTGTAGTTCATTTTAAAAATGTAATGTATAATTAGAAAATATAGGTTGTTAATGGATAATTATTGATAATAGTCAAGCTTGTAGTAATGTTAGTTTGGTTTTCTAGAGGTGCATAGATATATTTCAGATATGCATTTTTCATATCTTTCAAAGACTACAGAACATGGCATTTAATGTTTCAATAACTTAGGACTTTTCATGACAATGAGACACGTCTGCTCCTGGCAGCACCAATCTACTTCAAGAGGAAGAAGGACATCGAAGAGGCTCCTTATGGAGTTGGTTAGCCATTTGGGCAAGAAACTGTTCTTGCCTGGACTGTTGTATAAACTGGACACAGAGAACCCACAGAGAGAGGACTGCTGAACTTGCCTAAAGGTGAGATGATCTTTCGGGGTTCCTGATTCATGAAGGAGTCTGCGAGACATTCTGCAGGACACAGCAGATAGTGACTGAACTGTCTTTAAAAGTTCCTGCTTCATGGAAATGTCTGCTGGATATTGTGGGCCTGAAGGCTGAAAATGGATGCCCCAATGATACAGAGGAACTTTGGGTCACTGTCCAGGCAGCGAGATGTCTCTGTCATTTCTAGAGTTTTGGAAGATGCTTACTTCTTGTTTACTTATGTAATATTATATCCTTCTGGAGTCTTTGGAGTTGAAGAATGGATAGTCATAGTTATAGTTTTCCATTATTATGATAAAGATATAGTTATAAATATTGTGACTGTAATTCTTGCTTGATAACGGTTTTGTTATATGTAATTTTACTATGTTAAAATGAAAACCTTTCTTTTTTGTTTAAACAGAAAAAGGGGAAATGATGGAGGAGGGTTATCTGTCTATTGTGTTATTTTCATTGGTCAATAAAGAGACTGCCTTGGTCCTTTGATAGGACAGAAAATTAGGTAGGCGGAGTAAACAGAATAGAATGCTGGGAAGAGGGCAATGGGGCAGACGACATGGAGTCAGCCACCAGGTCAGACATGCTGAATCTTTCCCGGTAAGCCACCACCTCGTGGTGCTACACAGATGATTAGAAATGGGTTAATCAAGATGTGAGAGTTAGCCAGTAACTAACTCTCTAGAGATAATGGGCCAGGCAGTGTTTAAATGAATACAATTTGTATGTTGTTATTTCTGGGGCTAAGCTAGCCGGGCGGGATGAAAAGCAGGCCTGTCCGTAGCTCTTCACTACATTTTTTGTTTTTGTTTGTTTGTTTGTTTGGTGGTGGTGGGTTTTTTTGGTTTTGTTTGTTTTGTTTTCTCTGTGTAGTAGCCCTGGCTGTCCTGGAACTCACAGAGATCTGCCTGCCTCTGCTTCCCAAATGCTGGGATTAAAGTAGCTAGGCAACCCACTTTCACAGGTGTAATTTTTTAAATTTACTTTTATTTTGTGTTCAATAGGTTTTTTTTTCCCTTTGGCTGCATGTATGTCTGTGTGAGGGCGTAAGAAGCCCTCACATATAGTTGTGAGCTGCCATGTGGGTGCTGGGGAATGAACCTGAGTCCTCTGGAAGAGCAGCCAGTGCTCTAAACTGCTGAACCATCGCTCCAGCCTCCTTGTGTAATTTTTTTTTTCAGATAATTTTCACTGATTGGACTAGTAGGTCGTGTGTCTGACTTACCTGGTTGATTTATTTATTTATTTATTTATGATTTTGTTAGATTGAAAGAGCCCTGAGAGGAGTGTCTTCAGTTGTGAGTTTATCCCCATTCTCCACAGTGACTAAGCTTTTGAGTAGCAGTACATTTATAAATATTTTTAGTTGAAAGAGGGCTAACTAACATTTATTAAGCACCCACATTTATCAAGAACTTGACATTTCATTTGATTTTCCACATCAGATAAATTACATTTTAAATGACTTGTAATTTGATGTAATTTATTTAAAGGAAAATTTGGCCCCACTTTAAGGGGAGGAACTCTAAACTGAGAAATAAAGAGTAAATGTCTCGTATGACATAGATGGTGACAAGCATAGTAGAAATTTAGCATCACGTTTGTGTGGCTCCAAAGTCCGTGACCTTTAAATTACGACACACTGACTCACTGAACTGACTCTAGTGTGCTTTCTTTTTCCTTATTCAGAATGATAAGATTGTTCAAATAGTGAGTAGATAGGATTTCAAAAGATAGCTACCCACTTGTGGCATTTCAAAAATCCTGTGCTTAGTAGAGTTAAAGGGCATTTGTTGAGGCTGGAAATTTTGTGGGCGTCGAACACACAGCCAGAGTGGACCACTTAGGTGGAAACAAAATTTGAAGTGCTGTGCTTTTGCTGTGTGACCGTACTTCAGGATCACGGGCCTGGTGGGTGCTGAGCAAGACAAGCCCGTCTGTAGACTGGAAACCTGTCATTTGTACAGCACTGCACAAGTGAAGAGAGTCACAAGTGTGCACTGTCTGTGTGCAGGAGAACCCAAGCAACCCAGAGGGAAATTATGGAAGCAGACTAGAAAGAGACATAGAGTGCCAATAGTTTTTCCAGTTGTAAAACCTATGTGCAAAGACTTGCTGATGTCTAGGGTTATTGTCGCTATCAGGTGAAGGACAAGTGCTCAGATTGGCTCACTGGGTTATTTCCGTGGCAGAATCTTTTCACTTTGGCTTATCCAAGGGTATGGATGGATTAAAGTTCTTTTATCTTCCTATCACTCTAGTTCAAGTCTTTAGAAAAAAAATCAGTAACTCGGGGCCAGGCGTGGTGGAACATGACTTTAGTTCCAGCTCTCAGGAGGCAGAGGCAGGTGGATCTCTGTGATTTGGGGGATAGCCTTGTCTATATACTGAGTTCTAGATCTGTCGGGACTACATAGTGATCCTGTCTCAACAAACACATAAAAAAAAAAACCCTCAGACCAGTAACTCCCTTCCTGAGGCAAAATTAAAGGTAGGCTTTAGTAATTCTTTTCCTTTTTTAATTGTTATTTTTAGTAAGTATACAAAAATCATGAATTTCTTCCTGATATTGTGCACATAATTGTACTTTTCTGGAAGTTGTACTGTGCCAGATACTATCCTATGGGCTTTGTATCAATATTTTACTAAGCCTATCTCCAAACTACAGATAGTATTATCTCCATTTTACATACAATAAAATCAAAATATGGGAAAATTAATTAATTTTCCAAGCTACAAGATATGGTGGAGCTGGGTGCCAACACAACAGAACTTAATTATACTAGTCATAATTTTTTAAAGCCTTTAATCACTGCCTGGCTTAGTTACTTTTCCATTACTGTGAAAAAACCACCATGACCAAGACAACATATAGAAAACAATCAATGTGGCTTACAGCTGCACAGGGATAATAGTCCGTGTTGGCGGAGCAGAGGTAGCAGGTGGTGGGCAACCACCACTGAGAACTCCAAACAGGGAGAGAAACCACAGCACACTGGAAAGGATGCTTGGCTTTTGAAGTCTCAAAACCCACCTGTTGTGGGATATTTGATCACACTGTGATACCCTGAGACTGTGTTAATAAAGTTTCTTGAATCAGGGGGTGGAGCCAGTGATTAGCTGACCAGAATTAGTCATAGAAAAGGCAGGGATGTGGATAGAGGAAATGCACAGGAAGGAGTAGGGAGACACTTGGAGATTTTGCACGGTCTTCGATCTGGGAATTGTCGAGAGGTCAGCTGGTTTCTCCTCTGCTCCTCTTCAGTATATCAGGTTTTTTTACCCCACTATCTGACTCTGGGTCTTTATTGGTAATAGAAGAACTTAGATAAACACAACATCCATCCCCAGTGACATACTGCCTTCCACAAGATCACACCTAAACCTACCCAAGTAATGTCACCAACTGGAGACTAAGTACTTAGATGCCCAAGAATATAGGGGACTATCTCATTCAATACCACACTGTGTTTAAGGAACTTTCTGTGTATGAATAGGAAGAAATCACGAATCATTGAAAACTGCAATTTTAGAAGGGAAAAATGTACATATCACTCAAGCACTTGAAAAGGTGATAAACATTATTAACCATCTGGGAACTATGAATAAAAGCCACAACGAACTACTTATGTTTTCTGTCGGTGTAGCGGCTGCACCTGAGTCTACTGATATTTTAACTACCATCTGCAGGCCCCATGATCCTACAGTCAGAGTCCCGTAGTCCAGGCCTTGGCCTGGTGGGGTTTCTGGTCCAGTCAGTACCAATTCTGCTTCAGCTGTGAAATATAGTTGTTAACTAAGTCTTTATCATTCCATTTACCAATAAAGACTAGGGAGTCAGATGTTGGGGTGAAAACCTGCTAGCTCAGAGAAATTAAGAAGCTACCAGCCGACCTTCCCTTTTGGCTGGAGACCCAGCAAGAGTGTCTCTTCAGCCATCCAAACCAAAAAAAGACCCTCAGAACTCCAGGTCCCTCCCTACTGCTTCCTGTGCATCTCTTTATCTGTCTTCCTGGGTCCTCCATGCTCTATGGCTAATTTCTGTCACCTTGCTGCTGGCTCCACCCCTCATCCAAGGTTGATTTTATTAACAGTCTTGGGTTTCACAATGCAGTCAAATATCCTGTAATACTCATGCCCACCTAGGGAAGCTAAAATGAAATGGTGACTCGCGCTGGTGCATATGTGAATAACAGTCACCCTCACGGGCTGACGGTGGGAATGAAAATGGTGTAGTTGCTTTGGAAACCCATCTGGACGGTCTGAAAAGGTTTAAAACTGGTGTTGTCATATGACACAGCAGTCTGTCTCTCAGGTACATACCAAAGAGAAAATGAAAATGTCATCCTAGGCATGTACACATGAATGTTTGTAACATCATTATCCATCGCAGTGGGCGGTGGAATTAACCCCAAATCCCTAAACCAGTAGAGGGTAGATAAAACGTGGTAGATGCACACAGCGGAACACATTCAGCAATAGAAATAAAAGAAATGTCAATCTATGTTGCATGGACTACTCTGGAAGACTTTGTGCTAATCTCTCTGTTGTGATGGACTCACTCATCATCCTGGTCCATAGTTCACCTCGGCTATTCTGAGGGTCAGCATGCAGTCAACTCAGTTAAGATGAGATAGTAATTTATATGCTGTGTAGATGGGAAAGGGAGATGCCCTAATAAAAAATTTTCTGCCGGGTGGTGGTGGCGCACACCTTTAATTCTAACAGTTGGGAAGCTGAGGCAGGCGGATCTCTGTCAGTTCAAGGATAACCTGATCTACAGTGCAAGGTCCAGGACACCCAGGGCTGTACAAATAAACCCTGTCTTGACAAACCAAAACAGAACAGAACAAAAAAGAGCTCTTCATTACTGAATGTGAGTCTGTGGGTTCACAGATGAGGCTTCAGGAGGACACACACTGTACTTACCAAGAGGAGGAGGAAACTGGGGATGCTCTCCTTTGCTCACTCTTTCCTGGATCTTCATCCTCTGGACTGCAGTAACTGTAGAAGTCTGCCACGCTGCCATCGTTCCACTTGCAGTCTTTGTTATGATGTAATAGAAAAGGTCACTAACTCGGGAATGCAATATGAAGGCACTAGAATTGCAATGCCACCATCCAGAAATAATTCCTGTCATTATTATTATGATACATTTATTTTCTTTCTCCACGAGCACACACTTTCCTTCACAAGGCTGACGTCATATATAATACTATCATATGCATATAAAGTGTCATTCTTTGTTTTTTCACTAAAATTATATAGTAAGCATTTCCCACATGCTAGTCTCTTCAAATTTTTGATTTAAAAGAAAAATAAGTGCGGAATAATTGCCCAGCAGAGGCTTAGAGTTTTCATTTTAATTCTCAGGATAACACCCTGAAAGACTTTTCCAGCTAATAAGCATGACTGTGAAAATACCATGGTCTTCACCGAGCATCTGTGGCAACAGGTTAGTAAGAGCAGCTCTCTGAGCCTTCTCCCTGAGGACCGCTGCACAACTATCCCTTCAAAGACACGCTGGCTTCGCCTGACTTGCTTCCGAGCTGGCTGAGCAGGGAAACCAGCTGGTGAACAGGTAAGCTCTTTGCCTAGAGCGACTGTCTGTTTGGGAGGAATTGGTGGCCAGTCAAGCAACTCACAGCGTGACTAACGTGTCGAGGTGTCTGTGCCAACTGTGTCTTGTCCCTTCCTGTTCACATTGCCACAGTGATGCTTCACAGACTTCTCTGGGGTTTCTCCCCAAATCAGACATCAAGAAGGTATAACCGTTAGAGTCAAGGCCTGGCTACATGACTGGAATTTTCTGTTTTAGGATAATTTACTCTCATTATTATTCGTACATAAATCTCTTGTTTGTTTTGAGTTGGGGGGAGGTTGTTGTTTTATTTTTTCCCCTTTATACAGTAAAACTTTGTAACAGATGCAACTAATTCTGTTAATGAATACTTGTTGGATGTAAAATATATGGACTACTCTGGTAGATGTTTAACGTAGAGGAGCACCTAGTCCTGTTCTTGAGGAGTGAGCAGCCCAGTAGAGCTGTAGTCTAATATGAATATAAGCAGCTATAAGACAAAGTAGATAAGTTGAGAGTGACTTTAATGTTCTCGCCTATTCAGATTATTTTTACATTGAGCCTGTGTTACTGTGGGGACCATTGAGAACAAACTTTAATGACTGTGTCAGAGGATTGCAGAGCAGTGCAAAGGGCAGAGGAGAGAAAATTCTGTCCAACCGGAGTCGAAAGGGAATGAGGAAGGCCTTGGAGTTTCCGTCTTTTCTATGACGAAAAACCTTCGTATAAGACAAAGTTGACAAAATTTCCTTGAACTATAAAAAAGTCATATCATATTTTTAGAATCTTTTCTCCATGCTTATTCTTTTCTCTGTTAACTATAATAGCCCTGGTGGCTATCATATTACTCCTTAAATTTATATTAATTTAGGTCTAGTTTCAAACCATTTTGCCGGTTTCTTTCATGGAGAGATATTTGACACATAGTTAGCACCTAGCTGTATCGTAAGTTCTGGTGGGAGACAGCGGTGGAATGTTCCTCTACTAACCAAATAACAGGAAAGAAAGGAGACAAGACTACATGCCAAGGGGGAATCTTGGTCTTGCCTGTTTTCAAAACAGAAAGAGATAAAGAACATGTGAAAAATAACTGCCTACAGTGTGATTTGTGTGATGAAATTATGCTTAGGGCAATGCAGAAGGAGTGGCTAGCCGATTGTGAGGTGAGAAGGATGTCAGGAGGGCCACCTTCAACAGTGTATGTGTGGGAGCACTGAGGTCAAGGATAACACAGGCAATGATGGGGGTGGCGTGGGCTGAGGTGGCACCATGATTTGGGGATGTATTAGTGGAACTTAAAGTGTTGAGAAATAGCCCAGGCAGTGGTGGCACACACCTTTAATCCCAGCACTCTGGAGGCAGAGACAGATCTCTGAGTTTGAGGTCAGCCTGGTCTACAGATTGAGTTCCAGTATAGCCAGGGGTACACAGAGAAACCTTGTCTCAAAAAAACAAAGCAAAACAAAACAAGACCAAAAAACAAACAAACAAACAAACAAACAAACAAAAAAGCCAGGCTAAGTGGGAAGTTGGATTCAGTTTGAGTTTGAACCTTTATCTGCATACAGATATATTTCTGTGTTAGAACTCCTCGAAGTGGCGGAGCATTGTCACCCAGATGTCATTGGCATATGGAGGATAGGTTATGGGGCCTCCTCAGCTGAGGCAGCTCTGCTAGGCCTGGAAGGCAGACTTGGTGCTGATGAAGACCCACCCACCCCCACACAGGTGGCTGTGGATGTGGGGCCCAGATCATCTCTTTGCTGAAGCAAATTTCTGCCTTTTTCTCTGTTACAGAATGGCTTTCTTTTGGATGTGGGCCAACCTACTTCTACTTCTTCACGGTGCAGGTGAGTCATTTTTCAAAAACTTTTGGAAATGTTTTGGAGATAGTGAGAACAGTGATGTGGGGATAAAAGAAAAAACAAAAAACAACCAACCAACTAACCAATAAAAATGATTAGTCTAGAAAGGATTTAATCTCTTAAAATCCCAGTCTTGCTATTTATTCAATGTGAAAAGCAAATATTATATTTGCTTTGCAATACGTGGTGAAATGTGTTGGAGACTGTAACATACCTTTTGCAGTCTTAATTCTATCTGTTCTAACGAGAAATCCCTCCCTCCAAATTAGGCTTGTCCATTTGAAGCCATAGCCATATGACCAACTTGATCCCCATGTGTATTGTGACTTCCCAAAAGAAAAGACATTCAGAACCCCCACCTTCAAGTGACTTTGCAAAGTGTCAAATTTTATAGTCTCAGAATATTTGAAAGCAACCCTGTCCTTAAAAATCTAGATGGTCATACAACTCAATTTTTTAATTTCACTTTATGTTCTCAAGTCTGCAACAATGTGGGCGATGAAATTGTTAACATAACTGAGCGAACCTGAAGCAAATGACTGTAAGTTTCTAAAAAGTTACTGTGCAGGTAAACCCTGCCATCTAACTACTCCACACAGTGACCAAACACATTCCAGTCCTCAGGGACATGCAAAGTCACAGGAATAGTGGTTCTGATCTCTGATGGGCAGCAGCTGTCTGAGAGTATCCTCAGAAGTTAGTGCAAATCTTGGTTCACTGGGTGATATTTCTTGGCTCTTTTCACTTGATGATGGGAGGTGTGAGTGAGTGAGTGAGTGTGTGTGTGTGTGTGTGTGTGTGTGTAAAGGGACAAAGGCAAAGTGAGCTGATGGTCTCTCACACTGAAAGTGCTACAAAAATGTTGAAAAGAATGCAGATGAGAATGGGGAAGATACATCTGCTAATATATTTTTGAACAATACTGTCAGCCTGGTAAGCTGTGCCAGGTGCTGTAGCAGTGTGTTAGATACTCCTATTTGTTTGTATAAATTTCAAAGTATTTTTCTGCATTTTTAGCTTTTTGGTGCATTTTTGTCTTGGACTTTTCGATCTGGGGTCGCTAAAGACACAACAGCCTAGAAACAGTTTGAGAAAGATGAAAGACATATTTAGATAGGAGTAGGACCTTGTGCGGACATACCAGTTACGGGTTGGTGACTTCCATTCTCAGCCAGTCATGTCTGCCTTAGATTCCAGAGTGTGAAGCTTTTCCTTCCAAGGCCACAGACTGGACAGCTGTAGCAAGAGCTCAGAGGCTGAACCCTAGATAATAAGCCAATGATCTATTATAGAGGAAAACACATGTTCTTAGGAGAGAGATTGGAGTGAGGGCAGCTACACACATCTGGTCCCTTCCTTGTGTCCCTCTGGAAGATGACTGAGTCATGTCACAGAAAAACAGTCCCCCAAATCCCAAGGTGTTTCACAACTACCTGGAGCAGGTGGTGTCCTAATTATATGCACAGAAATAAACTCAGGGAGATGAATCGCCCGAAGCCACATGGTTAGTAAGGGTTACTTAGCTCTGGAGCTTGGGTTTGTAATTCTTCAGACCAGGACTTTAGGTACCACTATTAAAAATGTGCAAACCCATCCTTCTAGACATTGCATAAGTTATCTCTTCCTATGCTCCCCTTCTGTCGTGCCTTTCTTTGTATTCTTCACCCGTTTTTTCTGTAATTGATTTGCTTGTCAACTTTAGAAAGAATGATTGCTCTTAGCTGAAAGAATGCATCTCAAATAGAGAGCTTTGGACCCAGAGTCCTGAGACTCAGCAGTCTCCTCCCACCCACAGAGTGAGCTGTGCGTCCCTAAACACCCCACCTCCTGGTACTAAATGGTACCTGTTTCAGTGTCGTCTGCAGATGAAGGTTAAATCCAGAAAAGAAAGGTCTTACAATATGTTTAGCATATTGTAACACGAAATAAATGTAAGCTAATAGAGTCGGGGTTCTCCAGCATGTGCATGTGTACATGTATACACACAGAGAGAGAGAGAGAGAGAGAGAGAGAGAGAGAGCGAGCGCCAGAGGCATGATCTGATCTGAATCCAAGGACCTGAGACTCAAGAGGAGCCCATGTCTCCTCACTTCAGGTATGAAAGTGTGGAAAAGATTGCCCAAGCGTTTGAGCAGGCGTCCTGATGGCTGGTAGGACGGCCGGCTGTTTTGTTCTATTCTGGATTCGGATAGAGTGGGGAGGTAACTGCTTTACTCAAGTTTGTCCTTTCAGCTGTTATCCTAACACAAAATGGCCCCCATAAACCCCGGTAGTAACATTTGACCAAGTATCTGACAGCACCATCAGCTGCCACCAGGCCCCTGCCTGCTGGGATGGGCAGACTGTGTCTCTGTCCTCTCCTGGCTGGTTGGCTGTACTTTGCTGATGGCTTGGAAGTTTCTTTGCCCACTTAGCGTGATACCCAGATTTGCTCTTAGTGCTTAAGTTAGTTTTCTTCTATTTTGTCATAGCTTTTTATACCAAGCAACACCCTTACCGAGCCTCCCACTCACCAATTCTTCCTCCTTTTATTCCTGGCATTTCTTGGGTGGGGGGAGAAACAGACAGACGCACAAACACAGAAAGATAGAGACAGATAGACAGATACACAGATACAAATGCAAAGAGAGAGAGAGAGAGAGAGAGAGAGAGAGGCAAGCAAGTTAAAATCCCACTGTTACAGTCTTCACCTGTTGCTGGTGACAGCCTCTGAGTGGGTTCTGGGGAAAATAGTTTGAAAATATCCAGTCAGGTGTCTTGCCAACCTTCAGCTATCACATGCCAGGGGGTCTACCCCATGCTAAGAATCCATGAATTCTATATAGTCCATGTGGAGACCACAGCCATCAGGCCCCCAGTGAGAGGTATTTGCGGTACGTATAAACTATCTTTCCACCATTCCAGTGTGCCTTCCTGGATTACTGAAAGGGAGAGTGAAGAATGTTCTCAAGAACGTTTCAGTGTTAAGGTTCTGGGAGCGATGCCTGCACTGTCCGTCAGACATGTTTACAGAAGGGCTGAGCTGGCACCTGACTGAAGAGACGGAAAGGTTATGGCACACCGTGCATGCGGCAGTTTTCTTTTGCCAGTGTCAATCTGGCAAACCCAGCTTGGTTTTAGAGCCAACACCCGCAGCAACACAGCTTCCATCAGGTCAGCTCTGAGAGAAGCACTTTGCTGTGTCATTGTTTGCCTAGCAAGAGGCAGGGGCAGGCAGAGCACACGTGACAAGCCGCATCCTCCCTGCCCATCTTTGGGCTCACTTTTCCAGGCTTCTAGGGATTTTATAAATGACCAGTCCCCTGCTGTGGATCTTTCTCTGCCTCCACTGCTGTTGTCTCTCACCCAGTGTGTGCTCATTGGCCTCTACTGACTTCATTTCCTCTTTGACAATTCAGTGTCGGCAGATGAGGTGCGGGCCCACCCGTTCACTGACGTGACCCTCGACTGCGAGTTCTCCTTTATAGAGGGCACGGAAAACCTCGAGTTCTACTGGGAGCGAGAAGACATAATAGAGGAGTACGAAGCGGGAGACCGCGACTTTTACCGCTTCTTCACGCACTACGATTTCTTTCAAGTGTTCACAAAGGTGGTTTACCAGTTCTACGATAACGCAGAGCAACTCGAAGATCAGAACGCCTTGTATGAGGGAAGGGTCTCTGTGGACCAGAACGAGATTTCCGAGGGGATTCTGTCCCTTCTGCTGCGAAACGTGGATTTCATGGATGAAGCCGTATACAAGTGCTCGGCTGTCACTCCCAACGGCAGAGGGGAGACTAAGGTCAAGCTGATAGTGGAAGGTAAAGGGACTGCGTGGATGAGCTTGACTTCAAATCTACTCTCTTCATAAGCTCTAAATTTTCTCTCTTGGGGGCGGGGCCTCATTTTTTTCTAGCTCAAATTACTTTATTTCTATAAGAATGATGGAATATTGCCGGGCGGTGGTGGGCACAGGCCTTTAATCCCAGCACTCGGGAGGCAGAGGCAGGTGGACCTCCATGAGTTCAAGGCCAGCCTGGTCTACAAGAGCTAGTTGCACCAAAAACTCCAGAGAAACCCTGTCTTGAAAATAAAAAAAAAAAGAAGAAGAAGAAGAATGGAATATCAATTTGCTTTAGTTAAAACCGTTTCTCTGAACAGAAGGTACGATATCTGTACCAGGAGGCATCATTCATTATGTGAATGAACTGGGGCAGCCAAAGCTGCACTGGCTGAATCCCAAGTGCTACACATTGTAACAGCACCCCCCACACGCACACACGCACGCACGCTACGACGCTAGAGTCAAACACAATTCAGAGTGAATGGCACTGAACTGGGAATCAGGACGACCTTGAGCAGTCCATCAGTTTCTGTAGGCCTCGTTCTTCTCACCACAAAGCAGAGGTTTCAGGGCTGGAGAGACAGCCCCTAGTTAAAGCACTGGTTCGATTCCTAGCACCTACACGGCAGCTCACAGACATCTGCAACTCCAGTTCCAGGGGATCCAACCACGCTTCTGGCCTCTGTGAGCATGTGGCATGTACATGGTACACTGAAATACATGTCGGTAACGCACACACATAAAACAAAAAAATGTAAAATCTAAAAAGTAGTTTGAAAAACATTGACTGGGTTGAATCCACATTCCCCCAGTGTTAAACCCTTATCCTCTAGTGTTTTGTGGAAAACTGTGTCCTTTCTGACAGAGCCAAGCGGCTGTGGATCCCGCGAGACAGCCACCCTCCAGAAGAGTGGGAAGATGGCGAGAAGGGTTTCTCAATTCTTTGTTGTTGTTTTGTGAGACAGAATCTTTCTATGTGGGTCTGGGCTTGTACTCACAGCAATCCTCCTGCCTCAGCCTTCCTTCTGAGTGGTAGGAATTACAGGCTCATGCCACTTCCCAGCTTCATTACTTATCTTCTGGGATTCCCCCATCTATTGACTAAGTAGGCCCGGCCTTGCTTAGCTTCTGAGATCAGATGAGATTGGGTTTGTTCAGAGTGGTGTCATCATGGACTCTTCTCTGATTCTCAGCTCGGGACTTTGAGGTCAGTGGAGAATCTGGAGTGAACCCACACCAAGAAGGAAAGATCCCCCAAATAAAGGCAGCAGCAGTAGGGGCCTAGGTGGCAGGAGAATGCTCATATCCTCCTTTTCTCTCACTATGCTTGGGCCAAAATTTTAGCTACGGTGAAGCTAGGAACATATTGTCTCCATTGGGTTACTATAAACCCTGAAGGCTTGAGCCTCCTGGGACTAAACAAAAAAGGAACTAATTGTTTTGTTATTTTTTTTTCCCAACCAGATTCTGAAATACCCCAGGTGAAGTTTGACAAGATTGATGATGAAGATGTGGTTACATGCATATCTAAGGGCTGGTACCTCACACCCAACGTGACCTGGTTAGACCGGGGAGAAAGGGACCTTAGCAACCACAGTACGGTGGAGGTCCTGGAGGAGCAGATGAACGGCTTGTACAGAGTGTACTCTGTCCTCAAATATCCAGTCAAGTTAAATGAGAAATATGTCTGCCATATTACGGAGACTAATGAAAACAACAGACCCATCAGATCCATCCGGCGGTACCCAAGTAAGTGCAGCTCTGAGGGGAAGCGCGAGAGCAGGCTGCGGTTAGGCTCCCCAGACAGAAGCCGCCACTCATTAATATTTACTGAACGCCAAAAGTGGCGGCCACTTCTGAGCACTTTGGGGATTTAAAGAAGCGCCTGGAGCTTGAGCTTGTAGCCTGAGGTCAGAAATGGTGGTGATGTGGAGTCTCCCTGGGTTGGAAAAAAACTATACTTGGGGGAATGACAGCTCTCGCCAGACAGAGGTGACTCTTCCTCCCGGTGAGGCTGCTGTGCCTCTTCTCCAGCTTCCTGGTGTGACAGGCTGAGTAGTCATAGCAGCATCTGTGGGCCACTCACCACGTGCCTGGAACTTGACATATGTGTTGTGTGCGTATATGCGTCTGTGTGTACACATGCATGCTTGGGGTGCAAGTGCATGTGTGCAAGGATGGAGGCCAGGGGCCGCTGTTAGTGTTCTTCCCCGGCTACTTCTCCTCTTTGTTTTTTTGAGATAGGCTTTTCTCCCTGAGCCTGGAGCTCACTGATTCAGCTACACCGACCAGGCAGGGAGCCCCAGGATCCTTCTGGCTCTGCTCCCCCAGGACTGGGTTCACACGTGGGCAGTGCTGCACCCCGTTTTTATTTGGACGCCAGAGACTCATACGTAGGCCTTCACGCTCATGTAGCCTTCTTCCCAGCCCACATCGCTATGTTTAAGACCTTAACTCAGCCCTGCAACATAATTGCTATTACTGTCCCTTTCTATATGAAGAAATTAGAACTTTAAACAATTTGACCAAAATCTTGACTAATGAACACAAATTTTAAATTTTTTGGTAACCAATTATGCTATCTATGTCAAATATTATATTTCTAAAATATATTAATATTGTTTATCAAATTTAACTGGACCCCCTACATTTTACCTGATAAAATATAGCTATAGAAACATTTAGTACGAGAAGGAAAAGTTGAAGCTCAGTGATGGTAAGGTGAGAGCATCCACCCCTCTGGAAGAAGGAAAAGGAGGTATTATAGAACTCTTTGCCTGGTTGAGGATGCTGGCGGGAGCCCCAGGCCAGCAACACTATCGCCACAGGGAACTCAAGTATGGTTTCTTGGGTCCCATTGTGGAAATTAAATCCTGGGGAGACAGACTCAGTACTGGTTTTTGTTATGGTCTCAAGGTGATTCTGACCCACGCTCAAGTCCAAGACACACTGGTGTCAAATGTAAGCTGTAGCCGGTGCTAACAACAGCCAGCACATCTCTGTTCTCTCCATGCATGAGGGGAACAGAGTGCAGTCTCCTTAAAGCCGTGTCTGCACGGGGAGGGAGGCAGAGCTCCCACCGCCTTCCCTCCATCCACCACACAGACTCATGCATTTAAATTTCCCACATGAGCTGGCCTTTCCTTCAGAGGGAGAAAGCGGGGCTCACTTTATCTGCCAGACTTCTAAGTCTTTCCCACACATTCAAATGAACTTGGTGTCTGAGAACCTTAGAGTGGGCCTCGGACTTCCTTCTGAGAACACCAGGATACATTATTAATGGATTGACTTCAAAAGAAACACTGTTGTTTTTATTCTCTTAGATTTCAACACCCTTAAAATGCCCTAGGACTATCTAAAAACCCCTCATATTTTGCTTCTCTCTCTATCCTCTCATCTGTTAATTTATATGAGACCCTTGAGATCTGACATCTGCCTGTTTTCTGCTCTGCAGCCTTGGTGTCTCATGGCACAGCTGTTGCTCATGGCTCTGGCCTTACCAAGTCCTGTGGCTTTCACTGTTTTTTTTTCCCCACAGTGCCAAGTCTTTGTGAAGACTCTGCCCCCCTCAGAATACCTTTCTTCTCTTGATCTGAACCTCAAACTCCTGCCCATATCCCAAGACTTGACTCACATTCGGAGCCCTTCTCTTATGCTCATTTCTATTTGTTCAATATTTGGCTCATTTGCACATCAAATATTTGTGGTCTCCAACTCTGTGCCATATCCTCTTTGTAGGTGTTAGATGCATCCCAGTGAATATAATGAATTCTGATACACTCGACATGTTCATACTGTTAGTGGGAAAGAAATACATAGTAAACAGATCATTAAAATGTGCTGTATGTTACCATATGAACCCATTTACATGAAATTTAATACCAGGCAGGGGGTGGGGCGTGAAAAATCATCTATGCTGTGTGAAGGAAGTCAGAATACATCCCTTGGAGTGCAGATGTAAAGAGACTAGAAGAACGTGAGGCAATTTATAGGGTACAGATATTATTTCCCTTATAGTTGTGGGTGCTGGTTATATGGTAGTATTCAGTTTGCAAGAGGTTTACAGGGTGCTAGACACTTACTTTTATGTATGTGTTTTTCAATATAAAGGAAAGCGTGTATTATATCATATGGTGACTAGTCCCATAAAGGAAAACAACACACTGGAGGCCGATCAGAAGGAAGGGAGTAGAAAGGGAGAGCTGTGATGTTAGACCGTCCGTAGACAGTCTCACTTCCATGTTAGGTTCCAACAAAGACTTGAACAGAGATGTGGAAGCCAGGCCCAGAGGTCAGCTGGAATGTTGGGTTCGAGGAGGAGCACGGAGGCCGGCCAGGAGTTGGAATGGAAAGAATTAGTGACCGAGTGTGGGGTTAAGAGAGTAGAAAGCTGAGAGGCAGCCCCAAACATTGTGCAGTTTCTAGTAGAGCGTTACAAGGATTTTTCTCAGTTGTGAAACCACTGGCGGCTTTAGAGCAGAGGAGGGAAATGATTTGACGGCCTTTGTAAAACTCTTGCCTGTCACTCTTGAGGGTGGGACAGGATGGCCAGGTGAATTGCTGTGATAATCCAGGCAACAGAAGATGGTGTCAGGACCCCATGGTAGGTGTGGAAGTAACAAAAAGAGGCTGGATCATGTTTACATTTCTGAAGGCAGAGCAATGGTTTGTTGAAACAGTAAACGAAGGGTGTGAGCGAAAGAGAGGAGCCCATGATCACTAAGATTTCTCTCAGCAAGAGGTGGTGTCCCAAGTTACTTATCCCTAAATGAATTCACAGAACCTGGATTCCGATGCACATTACACGAAGGTCCTTAATATACAAACTCGAGTTTGGACCACACCCCTCCAGCACCCCAATATGGTGGGTGCAGAAAGTGTGGAGGCGAGCCTGGGAAGGGGAGAACTTCTAAAGGGGAAACACTGTAATCAGGAGCGCTCATGTCCTATTGTCTTGAGATTGGGTAATGAGGGCATAGGGTCAAGTACTTTCTGAAACCATCGGTCAGTTTATGGGCGTGAAAACCTTAACAAAGAGCCATTAATAACTGACAAGGAGTCTTCAAGGACAGGACGCCTCCCAGAACATCTGGACCCCGTTAAATTGTATGGCCCTGCTCCTTAATTGACTACTTTTAGAGTATCCATTCAAATTCTGCTATTGCGGTACCTTTCTGGAGCTGAGATCAGCACTACCCCCCCCCCTCCCCAAGCATTACATGACTTAAGATGAAACCCCTTCTTTAAAATGGAGTTTGCAAAGTCAGGTCCTCACAGAGAATGAATGGGTAGATTCATATTTGTCTAGGTTTCATTAGGAGGCATCTTTAGAGAAACCCACGTGAGCCACTGGAGGGGAATGTTGAGTACGTCGTCATTTATTCACTTCAGAGAAAGAGACAGACTCAGAAGCAAAGCCTGGGAACTGGGAACTACAGGTGGGATTTAAAATTCTGAGACTAGATGTGTTCACCATGGAAGCAGAATGCAAAAATGTAGAAAACAAACAAATAAGTAAAGTTCAGATACTAAAGCTTGGGCCCCCTCTCCCCTGCCCTTTACTGACGTCCTTGGGGCGAGGGAGATGAAGGAACACAGTAAAGGGGAAGGAGTGAAACAAATGGGAAACCAAGAGAATGGCGTAACTTGAAAACCAAGGGAAAAGCTGTCAGAGAGAAAGGAATGTTCAACTATGCAGAATATTACTGGGGAATCAAAAACGATGAAGACGGAGAAGGAATCAACTCATGAGCTGAGGGCAAAGCTAGGCATGCCGGTTATTGTTCTTTAAAAATAATATGATGTTGGGATGCCCTGAGTGGCCTGCAAGCCAGGCAGAAGCTGCCGCCAGAGCAGTACAGGTTCCCCTGGCAAGCGGCAGAGTCAGGCGGCTGGATGCGGTGGATGGCAGAGTAAATGGATATAAGGCTATACATAAAGCTCAACATTTATTATTTAGAGAAGAGGGAGACATTTATTACTTAAAGAGGAGGGAAACAGAGAGACATGGAGAAAAACATAGGGACAGACAGAGACACGTGTATACACGCCAATAGACAGGGGACAGAAAGAGAGAGAGTTAAGATGGTGGCGAGGGAGGTCAGAAGTGGCTGGGAGTAGGCGTGGCTAGTTCTTAAAGGGACCATAGCAAAAGAATAACACCAGTGTTGAGAAAGAGTAAGACAGCCGTCTAGAAGAGACAGCTAAAGGACTAGGACAGGTTTGTGTTTTGTTTTGTTGTCTTTTGTAGCACTAAAAGCACTTTTGAAGTTCATGATCATTAAATTGAAACAAGGACGCTGGGAACCACTGCCTGTTTTCCTTCAGCCTCAGTCATCTGAATGTAGGCACACAGTGGCATTAGAGTTTTGTCATGCTGCCCAACAGATAGAGACAGTAGGGTGTGGCGAGGCAGCGTGTCAGCCGTGGAGTTTAAGATGCACTGGGAAAGATGAAGGATGGAAGGGAGGAAAGGATGAGAAAAGGTGGTAAGAGGGTTGTGACTGTGTCTCGGTGGAGGAACGCTTGCCTGGTGTTCTTGCAGTCCCGGGTTCTACCCCTAATATTTCCCCAGAAGTTGTGGAGTCTTTGGGTTCTAGGTCCTGGCGACATTCAAAAAACTGTTTAATTTGGGGGACTTGAGATGGTGAATTGGAAAGACAGAGGCAATGGTTAAAGAGTAAGAGTCTTGCCAGGCGGTGATGCACACACCTTTAATCCCAGCAATCAGGGGGCAGAGGCAGGAGGATCTCTGTGAGTTTGAGGCCAGCCTGGTCTAAAGAATGAGTTCCAGGACAGTCAGAAATGTTACCCAGAGAAACCCTGTCTCTAAAAACAAAAAAGGAAAAAAAGTAGTAAGAGTTTTGAAATTGAGAAAGGGGAAAGGCATAGTTATTGCTAATATCATTAGCTAAGGAATGACCATGGGGAGGGTGACTAAAACAAGATGTAGGCAAAAATCTTACAGGAGAGGAGGTTCAGGCTCACATGGATGGAGTACACATGGGATAATGGCATTGACACCAAGGAATAAGAGACAGAAAGCTTGAGAGAGCAGCAGCTAAGTCAGAGTGACAAGAATCAAAGAGGGACAGCAGGAGGGTGTGACCCGGAAGCACAGAGGGCAGTAAAACGAATGAGACTTAGTTCTAAGCCAGACATTTGTAGAGAGACCGGCAGGAGAACGTTGCAGTCTGGACAAGTCTTTTCTTGTCTGGGATGATTTTCCCCCACAGGGCGTCCTGGAATGTGCTGTGAGTTGCTGACCTATGATGTCAGCTTCCTCCCTGTTTGCCCCAGTCCCACACAGCTAACAGACAAGGGAGGGAGGACCGCCTGAGGCTCTGGGACTACGCTGCTCTTTTTACCTCTGAAAGTTGGTAGGAAATACTATTTTTCCCTGACGTGTTTCCTTCATTCTCCTCTAATTGTTCTCCTAAAAATAAAAAAATGTTGAGCGAATGAAGGAATGAACTAGTAAAACCAAATTTCATCTTATAAATGGACAGCAATTAAGAAGGCACTCAGAGTATTTTAGAGCCCCCTAGAGGACGACCTTCTTAGAGGAAACAAAGAATTCATTACTCACAGCTCTTTCTTCTTGTGTGGCTCTAAGAACTGCATTATAGCTGACCTGCTTCTAATACAAAACTAACTTTTTCCTTCTACTCCCCCATTTTTTTCTCTTTCAGAGAAAAGGTTCGGTGAATATGACTATTAAGAGATCTGAATGCTCTCTGCCCAAGAACCTGCTGTGCCTTTACTCAGCGGAGTTCCTGCTTTCTCCTGTGATGGATGTTCTTTTTGTTTGTCCTGGACACTTACTGACCATAAACTAAAATCGAGAAACAAGGAGCCAGTCAGTCCAGTGTGTTACAGATTAACAGAGTCTTGCCTCTGCATTTGTTTCTCTCTTTTGTTTAAAAGATTTGTTCCACTTAGTCTCATTCTCTAAACATGTTAAATTCTGAGTAAATATCAAGTCTTCAGTGCAAAACAAAAGGAGATTAAAATCCTGGTGGACTGAGATTAAAATCCATGTGTCAGTTTCCCTCTATGTCAGGTTTGTTTCCTTTTGGTAATGTGTTATTTGGGTACTTGGCCAACCAAGAAGAGTCTAAGAGGTATCTTCCCCCAAATTATCACGAATGTGTTTGCTAAAGTCCTTTTATGCGTTATTGGACAAAGGCTGTAGAAATATCAGACATTAGAAGCTGCTAACTCTTCTGAACTTTTTTGTTTGTCCAGTGGGTTTTATCTTATTCTTATTTTTATTCTTATTCTTATTACTATTACTATTATTATTATATAAACTTCTAAATCTCTCCCATCTCTATGCTTTTTGTAAAAATAGATTAATGGTCTGAATATTTGTGGTTCCCCCAAATTCATTCTTTGAAATTTTTTATTTATTTATTTATTTATTATGTATACAATATTTGTCTGTGTGTATGCATGCAGGTCAGAAGAGGGCACCAGACCCCATTACAGATGGTTGTGAGCCACCATGTGGTTGCTGGGAATTGAACTCAGGACCTTTGGAAGAGCCGGCAATGTTCTTAACCTCTGAGCCATCTCTCCAGCCCCATTCCTTGAAATCTTTACACCAAAAGTAGTGGTAATGAGAGGTAATGTCCCCTGAGAAGCTGGATCATTAAGGCAAAGCTAATACAATGAGATCTGTATTGCTGCATGTCTTAGTTAGGGTTTCTATGGCTGCAATGAGAAACGCCCTGACTGAAAAACAAGTTGGGGAGAACAGGGTTTATTTGGCTTACACTTCCATATTGCTATTCATTATTGAAGGAAGTCAGGACAGGAACTCAAACAGGGCAGGAACTGATTCAGAGGCCATGGAGGGGTGCTGCTTACTGGTTTGCTTCATGTGGCTTGTTTAGTCTGCTTTTCTATAGAACCCAAGGACCACCAGTTCAGGGGTGACCCCACCCACAATGCCTGGGCCCTCCCCATAAATCTCTAATTAAGAAAAAGCCTTACAGATAGATATTATGGAGGCATTTATTCAACTGAATGTTGTAGAATAGACTATTTCTTCAACTATGTTGAGCTACATTTGTTCATGTTGTAGAATATCACTTTAACTATGTACAGGTGAGTTGCATTTGTTTTCCCTTGCCTGCCTAAGGCACCTGATTGGCTAATAGCCAATAGCTAGGAAGTAGAGGGTTAGGCAGAGATGGCAGATGGAGAGAATAAGTCGTAGGAGGAATTTAGGTTGGGAGGAGAGAGAATGAGGGAGAAAGAGAGAGATACCTGGGGCCAGTCAGTCGGGCAGGTGCCAGTCACAAAAGAAGCAGGACACACAGAGTGAAAAAAAGGTAAACAGCCCAAGGCAAAACATAGATGAAGAGAACCAGGTTAAATTAAGTTGTAAGAGCTAGTGGGACAAGCATACGGCAAGACCGAGAATTCATAATTAATAATAAGTCTCCACATCACGATTCAGGAGCTGATTGGTGGCCAAAAGAAAGCCTGCTTCAACTGAGGCTTCTCTTCTCTGATTGCTCTAACTTGTGTATGATGATACAAAACCAGTCGGTACGGTGTGAGAACTCAGGCATCTTCCTTTGTTCCTTTCTGGGGGCCTGGGTGTGGCAATGTCTTTGCTGGTGTTTGAGCTCAGAGGACCCAAGCTTAGGTTACAGACAGAGAAGAAAATGGTAATGAGACATTAGGAGAGAAAAGAAAAGAAAATTGTTCTGGAAACAAAACTTTTAGTTGGATCAAAACCTGAATTTTGTGAGTTAGATGGTTCAGATGATAAAATAATTTTATTCCTGGCCATAAAGCTATGCCTACTTCTGAAATTTCCACATAGGATGTCCCAGGAAGGGGACAGTCCAGGGAGACAGGCCCGTGAATTGTACAGAAATGATAGCTATATTCTTATAGAAAGGGTTGCCTTATTCTTCTTAAATACTCATTTATTTATTTGTATGTATGTATGTATGTATGTATGTATGCCTGTGAGAGTTATGTCAGCAGCTACCTGAGTCCCCCAGAACTGGACGTAAAAGACATTGTGAGCTACCTGATCCGGGCGCTGGGAACCAAGCCCTGGTCCTCTGCCAGAACATAGTGCTCTTAACCACTGAGCCATCCCTCCACCCCTGCTATTTACATAAGCATTAAGGTAAGCTTTGGGCTGTGTGCTAAATGTTACTTCTACCTACTTCCACCTATGGGAAAACCAAGCTTCAAGTGGACCACTAGGTGCTCTGGCCTGAATCACAGTGAGAGCCTGCGCAGATGTCGTTAGAACCATGATAGACGGGGGACGCATGCATTAATTCTGTGAGTTCAGTAGTAAAATTATAGGGAGCACTAACAGGAAATGACTATTTCATGTTGACACAATGATCTTAAAAGAAAAAAAGAAATGCTGCAGAATGGGTGTGAGAGAGGCGTGTGGATTTAATTCCTGTCTCCGTTCCTTTCTAGTTCTGTAGTCTTGGATGCATCCCTAAGTTTATGCTTTCCTGTTCCTTATCTGTGAGACATCTCTGACACAGGGCCAGTCTGAGAATCGAGGCAACATATGAGATGAAGATATTCAGCAATTGTGATACTTGACACAACATTTCCTGTGTGCCCGAAGCTTTAGAATTAACACACATCGGCTGATTTAATCCTCGAAAATAAATAAATAAATACATAAATAAATGGGTAAATACGATCATTATGCACCTTTAGAGTAGAAATGGGGACACAGGAAATTGAAAGAACTTCCAGAAGTCTAAGATGTAGGAGAACCCAGTGGAAGAGGGGGTGGAAGGGTTGTAGGAGCCAGAGGAATTGAGGACACCGGGAGAATATGGCCCACAGAATCAACCAAGCAGGGCTCATAGGGGCCCACAGAGACTAAAGTGGCAATCACAGGGCCTGCATGAGGCTGTGCTAGGTTTCTGCATATACGTTATGTTGTGCAGCTTGGTATTTTCACGGGACCCTAACAGTGGGACTGAGTGCATCTCTGATTCTTTCGGCTGCTCTTGGATCCTTTGCCCCCTACGGAGTTGCCTCATCCAACCCTGATAAGAGGGTCTGTGCCTAGTGTCTTACTGTGTCTTACTGTGTCTTACTGCAGCTTACTGTGTCTTACTGTGTCTTACTGTGTCTTACTGTGGTGTCTTACTGTGTCTTACTGTGTCTTACTGTGTCTTATTGCAGCTTACTATGTCAGGTTCAGTTAATATCGCTGAGAGGCCCGCTCTTTTCTGAATTCAAAGAAAAATTAAAAATAAAATGAGTCTTTAAAAAAAGAGAGAAAAGAATGGCGAAATGGGGGTGAGTGAGATGGCTCCCAAGAGCTGGTCATGGAAGCCTGGAAGCCCGAGTTCATTCTCAGAACCCACATAAAGGTGGAAGAAAACAGACCCTACTAATGTTGTCTTCTGACCTCTACACATGCGCCCTGGCATGCATGCTCACACGTGCACATATTGTGCACACACATGATAATAGTATTAGTAGTAATTATTATTACTTTATTAAAAGAATGACTAAAGGAAACTTGTTGCTTTGTTTACTAGCTTATGAAAAACAGATGCCAGAGATAGCTCAGCAGGTAAAGGCATATGCTGCCAAGCCTACCAGCCTGTGTTGGGTCCCCAGAACCCATGTGATGGAACAGAAAAACAGTCTTTCACAAGTTGTCTCCTAACCTCCACATGCATGCTGTGCGGCATGGCTCTCCACCACATGTACACCAAAAAATAAAATAAAATAAAAAGATACTAAAACAGTACAAAACAATCATCCCAGTGGAATACATCAGGAGTTACAAGAAGAGAGAGAAAGGGAAGAAAGGCATTTGCGAAAGATAGAGACTATAGAAAAAACTTATTATCTTAACACTTTGGAGGCCGAGGCAGGAGAATTGTGAAGCTGCAACCAGCTTGGGTTGCAGGGTAAGACTGACTCTTTCTCTCTCTCTCTCTCTCTCTCTCTCTCTCACACACACACACACACACACACACTTACTTACTTACTTACTTGTCAGCTCTGGATCTGGATCTAGGGAAAGAATTGGAACAGTGTTGTCTTGGCTTCTTTGAAAAGGAGAAATTCTGGTAGTTTGTGTATTTAAAACAAGGTCAAGAATTAGGAAGAGAAAGTCCCTTTTCTTCTGTAGGCAAAGTTGTCTCCCACAGGCTTCATTCTCTTGCCAGTGTGTTCACGATTCTGGTTAGATGAGGTCTTTGAGCCTCTCTCTCTCTCTCTCTCTCTCTCTTGCCATTCTTATCTGTCCTGGCAATGCGTTCTTCTTACAGACCTGCATAATTTCAAGTTCCTGTTAGTTTTAGTTTTTAATTATCTGACCACAGCAGGTCAGGCAAGACCTATTCACCCTGATGGGTGTATTTTCCTATTTGGTCCTTTTTGTTCAATCTGTTTTCAGCAAAGTTGTGCTATTCCATGTGATATATGGATGGCGAGGCTTCTGGGCCAGGCTTAACCTCCCAGGATGTTTCAGTTTTGCTTCCTATCTGGACTCTCTACATGTGATGCTCTTAACTATAAATCCAATTAACTGCACAATGTTTCTATGAATGCTTTCTGTCGACAAGGCCATGAGGATGCGGGAAAAACATATCTAGGGTCTCTCAAGAGGTTTTTTTTGTCCTTGACATTCAAGCTGAGACAAATCAAGGACAGCCTACACTTTGCAATGAGACTCTCTCTCTGACAGCAGAGGGTACAGAATTTAGTGATTTATTGTAAGTCTGCCCAATTCGACAATGTTCCCTCTCGACACATTGTCCACGGCTGCTGTCTTTCCCCACCCAGGAATGCCGCCTCCAGTGCCAGGTCTAGATGTGCAGTCTAGACATCCTAGTGCCTTCCTATCCACCAGGACGTCTCAAGACAACTCCCACGGCTCCCCTCCCCAGGCTGGTGTCTAGGGAACTGCGCTGTAGTCCGCCAAGCTGTTCCAGTCAGAACCTTGAAGTCTTTCGTGACCATTGCTTGTACTTCGGTATCCATTTA